TGCGCGCGCGCGCGGGGGAGGGCGACATTTGCATCTGACAGCGCGCGGGGGAGGGCGACATTTGCATCTGACAGCTTCTTAGTCCATATTCACACCGGGATTTCTTTTCAATGTATCTGTCCGTCGTGGTGTATTTTCCTATGTTCTTGCAGAAGATTCCTTCTCATTCTGCACACTGGCAGGCTTCTCAGTTGATAGACACATGAAACTGTTGAATTGCAGACGTGAGTCCGATTCCAGCGGCGACCATTATAAAATAGTTCTGATTTACAAAGTATCCGACGGCTTGCTGATGCCTTGGCCGATGCCCCCGCGAATGATGCACGTCCCTCATGTTCTAAAGCGAACACCCTTGATCTCGGCTGGGCCAGATAATGGCCGTGCCGGCGGCGGGGCTGGCGCTGGGCCACGGCGGGTTCACTTGTGTATAGATGTAGAAATAATCCTCACATACCTGGATTTCTGCTCCCCTCTGGACATGCTCTTAAATCGGAAGGTTTTGCAGGCGATTCGGTTGCTCTTACTCCAATCTCTGATCGTGCGTTTTAAGTCTCTCAAGCAAACTGTAGAACTGTTTTGCCACATCTCGGAGGCTGCAGTCAGTTGGACTAAGTCATCAGTTTTTATCCCCTCGGGAGTCCCCTCTCCGGACTGGGAACCGAGGGTAGTGGTGCCTGCTCAGCAGGACCGACTGCTTGGTCATGGAATATCCTTCACCCCTCACCTTGTGACGGATTTGTCCCAGGCCCTGACAGCTATTAGAACTGCGCTGCAGCCCTGGATTAGGCACAAAGGAGTGAGCTTGTTCGGTCGGGTACTGGTGATATTAACTCAGTTTTGTCAACAATCTAGTACCAAAGAGCGATTTTTCAACTGGATCAGCCCTCGGTTCGAACAACCTGCTGACCAACTATTTGTGGAAAGAAGAGATGAGTGAAGACAATTTCCTACCTAAAGTGGCGTGGGAGGTTGTCACTCAGACTAAAAGGAATGGTGGTCTGTCAATCCTTGATCGGGAACGCCAAGTTACGGCCCTGTTGGCGCGCTGGGTCCCATGGGCTGTGCTGGCAGGACCATTTGCAGCCTGGAGGCAGTTATCAGAATTTGAGATATCCACACATAGGAATTTTGGAGTAACATCAGACACTTGTGGATTTCAATTTTCTTCTTAGCCTATTTGAGGAGAAGGATGCCGGATGGGATCTGGGCGGGCATAATCAAGGCCTGGCACCAGCTTGTGCCGAGACTGCAAGCCCTGCCGCTGCTCATGGACCGAATCTTAACACAGCCTCCCGTCGAGAATCCTGGTATCCTCTCTCAGGGTGGCGGGGCTTTTCCATTCTTCCGCCCGGGGGCGTTTGGTGATTCCTGGATGTCACCACGGATAGGTACGTTGGTGGATATCTGGGACGTACAGAATGCAGATTGGAAACCATTGGACAAACTCTCCCCTGCTCTTGCTGGGTTATGGTATCAGAGACAGCATTTGGCTGAACTACAGCGAGCAGTGCCGCTGGATTGGCTGGGTACACTACGACAAGGACTTGTTCAAAAAGGGGATGTGGTTCAAAGCGACAGCAAGGCGAAGAGCCGACTCATCTCTGGAAAATGGAAGATTTTTCTCCGGTGGCTGATGTACCCTTTTCCTTCTGGCTCAGACAAGGAGGCAGGATGTCCCTGGGAGGTGTACTCATCTTCGTCCCTGAGCAGCTTCCTGTTCCCCCGATTGCAGAACTTATCCCGGTGTGTGTTCTGGAGTATGATGGTGGATACATACCTTACTGCCTTTCTTCCCCAGACTACTCATTGTCTGTGGATCCGAGGAACTGGGCATGGGAGAACCCGAAACAGAGACACCAACTGGTGCCGCTTCATCGGTATGACACCAGATTGGGATATCAATTGGCAACACCAAATTTGGACTTCAAATGGAGGGAGGCCAACAGATGGATGGCCACTGATTGTATACAAGACACTGCGCTTCGCATTGTGGAAGCCTTGCCTGCAGTTTGGAAGCAGCTGACGGGTCTCTCGGTGGTGAAGCATGCGAGCCTGTTATGGTTCATAATGCATCTAGCTCTCCTCGTAGCGGCATGGTGCTCTAGGCGAACCCCCAAAGCGGCCTCTGGGTACAAAGGTGGAAGATATTGAACATTTTGTCCTGCTTTGTGACCTTTCTCGTCCCTTTTGGGATTGGTGGAGAGGTGGCTCTGTGCATGTTCCGGACGCTGAAATACACTGGTCTGACCAATTTGTTCTAATGGGAGCAGCTTCTCGAAGGCCGCTTCGCAGAGGTCAGCTGTATCAGAGGCCCAGAGGGGCAATACTTTGGACTCTCTGGACACTGCGAAACTCTGCGGTGAGAAGAGGAGAACAACTGACACCGCTGATGGTTAGAGCTGAAGTCAAGTTTGACGTTGGGCAGGGCCCGGCAGGCTATTCTGGCAGGCTGGGAATTTGAAGTTGAAAAGAAAATATATTCAGAAAAATCCCTCAAAGTTTTCGTCGGCTTCAGACCTGCTGAAAGTGGCTCAAAGAGAAGGGAGGCCTCCAGAAATCGCATTTTCTCCTTTTTCTTCTTTCGATAATATTCAATGATTTGTTAGTGTTCTTAAAAGATTGTTCGACAGTAGAAATGTATAAGCCATTCAAGTGGTAGATAGGTGGATTGATCTACAGGAAGGGTGTTAGATTACTAGGTATAGGAATTGTGGTTATTGTTGTAAGCTGACAACAGAACACCGGGACCCCTTTTTGGAACAGGTCGATTTTTGCTCTTTGTTGTGGTTGGGGTTAAGCCTTGCCGGTGAGCCTAGCTCATCCCTGTGGGCCACAGCTATTGATGTGAGGGACGCTGGGTCCAGTTCCCAGCTTGCAATAAAAAACCTAAATCTTTTTTGTAAAAAAAAAAGAAACAGGCCGCTTCTCAGTTTATCACACGTACTATAAAACAAGAAAGATTGAAGTTTGAAACCTCACCCGAACGGGTGGGTAATGGTACATATCATGCATGACATACTACAGCTCAGCCACTTGAGAATCTGAGTACATCCGAGCCTCTTTTCGCCATCATGGTGGAGTCGCACTGCAAGCCAAGATTTGTCGATCCGCAAGTGGCACATTTTTTGTTTCTCTTTTGGCTAACACCGCCAGCCATTGTCGAGCCCCCAAACTTTTCGATTGGCCTGGGCGATGTACTGGCAGTTTAAAAATAAAAGCGATGTCAAACTGTGCAGACGACCGCCATGCTTTATGTTCAGAATCCCGGGTGAAGACTGACATGCTTACTATGGAGTTCCCCCCATCATGGCTGTCATCAAGACTACATATGCCCTCGATTGTCATGTGGCAGCCCCTGCTTAGCATGCTCTGGAAAAAGGTAGTACCCCTTACAACACTGCCATTTCCCCCCACTATGGCAGATGGAGCACAAACGGGTCAGAGCAGCAGGCTCTCCTGTGTACTGTCTGATCCATGCTGGGAATGTGAAATTGGTTCGTCGCAGGAGAAGAATTAGGCCAGTCAGGCAAACCCCACAAAGGGCCCATTGGGCCCTCGATCCAGAATGCACAGATTGTCTGCAAAAACCATTGTATCAAAATAAGACGCTGAACCCATTTTCCGGTAGGTGCAGCTCCCCACCATCTAGGTACATCTGAGATATCCTGTTGGTGTATTGCCTGACCCCATGGGTGGTGGGGAAATCCTTCTCAATTACCTCTTCTTCATCATCACCTGCTTCTTTCCATCTTTCTGGGCCTGCGTATCCATCGGCGTACTGCCATGTTGGCATCCAGTTTCTGCCACATCGGCACTGGAACACTGCCACTTCAACAGTTTACCACTGCCATGTCAGCATCGGTCAGTGTCATGTCAGCAATTGCACCGCTGTGCCATGTCAGAATGCCGCGTAGTGCCTGCTTCCCGGCCGCTTCGGTACCATGTTCCTCGAACGGCAGGATGGTGCGTTGCCTGCGCACTGCTTGCCTATTCTCCATGGCTGAGGCCTTTGACCAGCAAATGCAGGAAGAGGATGCTGCTAGGCAGCGACAACCGCAAGAAGAGGAAGAACAAGGCCACCCGCAGGAAGCAGCACATCGTCAAGCCCCTACAAGAGGCTACTGAACTGGTGGAGGCTGAACACATGGCACTGGGGGAATCGCTTACCATAGAGGATTCCCACTGTCAGGTGGCTTGTTATGCCCAACCAAATATATCAAGGAGTCTGCCAAAATTGCCCCATTTTGGGGTCGAACTGCTGAAGCTTTTGGGGATCAGGCTTGTTGAACTCCTTGACGCCTTTGGTTGGCTTGTTTAGTCAGAGTTATTTGTGGAAGCCGCGTCCCTGGCTGGGGTATCTGGTTTGGATGCAAACCGCACTCGCCTATCACCACCAATGGTGGCTGAGATTATGGTGTCTTGAACATTGTTTCATTACACCTTTTTGGTGATCTTTTCTGAGACTTAACTGAACACAAGTTGTACAATGTAACGCTGAATAAGGGACGCTGGACCGGTTTCCAGCAGGTGCAGCTCCCCACAAATAGAAAGAAGCCATCTGACAGAGGATACCGCAGGGGAATGCTCATATCACCCTCTGCGGTTCTCCCCGAGGATGTTAAAAAAAAGGGGTAAGTACGTTCATGTCACCTTTGATTATAGAATGGGCAAAAAAAAACACGCGTCGGCAAAGGAAACCGCGCCGAGTTCAAAAAGGCAACGGAAGTACCACCTGCCGTGGTGTCAGACCGGGTGTCATATTTACAGGCGAAGCCCAACGGATACTTTTGGACCGCAATCGCTCATTTCGAGTTGGCGCGTGGTTTCTTTGCCGGCGCAAGTTTTTTTTGCCTTTAGGGTTTCAAAAACATGCCGCGTCCGCCTTTATTTCTTAAAAAAAAAAAATTAAAAATCATTACACCTTCATTGAAGTTCCTGGCGAACGTCCATTTTGGCATTTGGAAGCAGGGCTTTCGGCGATTCTTGAATCTCAAGGGGAACATGTATGATAGCTGACATTTGGGATGTTCAGATGGCCAATCGGAAAGTTGAGGAATGGTTGCTTGATTCTTTACCCTGATCGTGGATGCGTCAGCAGCATCTTTACTTCTGCAGGATGCTATTCCCTTTCAGTGGGTGCACATCCTTAGAGAACGGATTGTTTGCAAGGAAATATTTTGGTATAAAAGTCAACAACAGTGGAGGCCACAGGTTATGAGGAGAATAGAGAGTGACACGGATCCTGGGCATCTGGAGTCTCTTCTTGGGTAGTTGATAGTGGTTGGACCTCTTTAGGGTCTGAATTTGACCTGACCGTCAAACCCTTGTTTCGTCTGCCCCCTGCGAAGCTAATTACGCGTTACGCATCAGTTCACCACTTTGTTTTCAACTGAGAAAACAACGTTCGACTTGCATGTGTTAAAGCATCAGTACACCACACATCAGCCGGCGGGTGTCAGCACGAAATGCACACCACTTCGGAGTCCGCCGATTTTTTTTTTCAACGGCGCTCCACACTGCGCGGCCCCTCCGAGTTTTGCTTGTGGCAACAAAAACTTTCTGCAAGGCTGGGGCCGTGTACTTGCGGCTTAAGCATATCGCTAGCATTCATTCTGAGCCAAGATCAAACTCTGTTTTTTTTATTGTGGCTTAACTTCTGGGAATGTAGGATCCGTATGTGTACTGGACCTTTATGGTTCCTTCCAACCCTTTGTGTAGGCCAGCCGTTTGAGTCACAGCCACTCAACCCCAGAGCTTGTGCCTGGCAACATCCTCTAAGCTCTTCTAAGCATGTGCCCCTATTCATGTCTACAGCCACTGTTGGCCATCCCAGCCTAAGCCGGGTAGGGTACAAGATTGCCTCCCCCATTTCACGGCCGCATGAGCTAGGTCTGGAAGCCATTGCAGGACTTTTTTTTTTTTCTTCCTTTTAATTAGCTCCAATCTATTGGTGGGGAGCATCACGTGCTGGAAATCGGGTCCAGCGTCCTTAGAACAATGAGTCCTCTGTTTACTTTAAGAACATAAATCATGGAACCAATGAGTAGAGGTCTGCCTCTTCAGTTCTATGAGAACCGCCTGATCCATTGTTAACTTACTAGCATTCCTCTCAAATCCATCAGCAAATGATTATCAATTTGTAGCCTACTTGCACTGTTATTCCTCCTCTCTCCCAAACCACTTAAGATCTACCAACGCCAGTTCAAGACTTTGCGGATGCCAACATTTATTATTTATTTATTTATTTATTTGCAATCAGACTCGCTTTCTTTCCACTTCACACACATGCAAACAGATGGTGATTCACACTGGCACACAGCGCCCACTCAAAGCTCAGAGATATGACAATTGAGAACGCAGTTCAGATGTAAACTCGCTTCAATAAGCTATGGCGCATCAGCGCCTACACAGTCCAACTCTTGCCACTGCGCTCAACACCACTGTTCACCCGCACTCAACTCTGGATCTCCCTGAATACACCCACACACACTCACTCGATATCCTACACACACACACACGCAGCTACCTCTACCCTCGGCGGCTATGGCCGCTCGCCTCTACCGCTATGGCCACAATCTCGCTCTTCAGCCCACTTCGTCTTCGGGCAACCTGCAGACCACCTTCGCACAAGTCGCTGTAGCAGCGCTTCTGCATGGTTTACGCAGCGAATGAATGAATGGCTGGGCGCTGCCTCTTGATTTATACTTCTGTAACTCGTTGGTCTGCCCCTTTCCACCGGGCCCATGGTGCACACAGTCCCTCACAGTACTTGCTTGACTGGCTGTGACTGACTGGGACGGTACCGCTAACTGCACGGGATTGCACTGCCGACTCGATGCAGTCGCAATGCCGACGCAGTGATGTGGGGCTCACCACTTGCCCACTTGCCTCTGGCTAAACGTGAGACAACTTTGAAAGGCCACTTCCGGACCTTCCGGAAGTCTGTGGACTTGGCCTTTTCGAGGACTGTAGCAGCTACGACCTTGACCTTTCAGGACTGTAGCAGCTACGACCTTGACCTTTTAGGACATCTACAGCTACGACCTCTACAAAGCTGTGACTCCTATTCGACAGATCTACAGATCGAACCCCTACAACTACATAGACCTACGACAGACAACAAACAACTACCAAAACACAGATCACGGGTTCAAACACTCGGGGGTCAACTCGATACTGTACATGGGCAAGGTAAGGTCTGGGGATCGAACTCTAGGGCCCGCATCTATGACTGCAGAAAGGTGGAAACCGTTTCACTCCCGCCGGCCTAAATCCGAGGTCCTCCGAGAATACTTCAGTCTAAGGCAGGACCTTTACCTTTCTTATCTCTTTTATAAGCTCTGACTATGTTGGGAGTTGTCTCTAGAAGTTCTGTTCGCGTGAACCAGCGGTCGTCTTCTGGTTCTTGGAAGGAAAATCTGACTTTGTACTGTTTCTGTGGACAACCTCTACCTCCTGTCCTGAAGACATCCTCACCTACTATACCATCAATGTCATATCTTCCGTCCATATCTGGAGGAATCATAGATCTGCGTGATGGAAACTGTTGACTGGTGACGCAAGGCAACAACTTCGACGCATGGAACGCTGGGTAGGTGTGGAGGTGTGCTGGAATCTTAATAGTATAGGACGGTCCATCCTCTCCGCCCTTAACTTCTAGGACCGGCCACGGTCCTTTATATGCAAGCAACAACTTTTGTGAGATGTTCTCCTCAGAGGCAAACTCTTTTGACTTGACCCAGACTAAGTCGCCTACTTGAAACTGTGAGGGGCGACGGTGCTTGTTAGCTTGCTCTATCATTCTGTGCTGGGCTTTCCTGAGGTTGTCAACAACGGTAGCTATCTCTTTCTCATGCTATATCGCAAACTCTCGTGTGTCGGGCGGTAACCTCTGAATCTGATCCTGGTTAAGTCCCTCAAACAGTTTGCGCGGTCTAAAAGACTTGTGCAGTTCGTTGGGAGTGCGACATGTAGATAAGTGCACGCTATTATTATATGCACTGGCTACCTTAGGAAGCATCTCATCCCAGTTGATCTGGTCGGGCCTAATGTACATCCTAAAAACTTGTTGTAGGAGCTTGTTCATTTGTTCAGTCTGACCGTTAGTCTCAAGGTGACGGCCAGATGACATCAACAACTTGGAGCCATGGACTCTCATTAGCTCCTGCTAGTTCTGACTGGTGAATCTTGTATCCTTGTCACTAACTATCGACAGCGGTATTAAGTTTGTGCATGCCTCTGCAGGCAAAGGAACAAAAACTGCATACTTGCTAAATCTATCTAGCCATGCCTACTCTTGACTCCAACATCCATAAAGTCAATGGATACAGAATCTCCGGGTCTATCAGGAATAGGCAAGGGTCTGAGAAGACCAAGAGGGGCTCGCGTCGTAGTCTTATTCCTCTGACAAATTTTATAATTGCGGACATACTCTATGCAGTCGGCCTTCATAATGCCAGATGTACGCGCACATGAGGTTGGCTAGTGTCTTTTGCCAACCAAAGTGTCCCTCTGTGTCATGGCATTCCCCTAAGATCAAACTACGGATCTCTTCACTGTTGGGAACGCACAGGCGGTCAACTACATTAGTCTTCTCAAATAATAAGCCATCAGTAGTGCGGTACTCTGGTTCAGACTCTGGGGTCTCCCTAACTCTCTTGAGTAGGTCACTATAGATAGGGTCCTGTGCATATGCCTCTCTAACTTTCTGTTGCAGGTCTCTCCCTATATTCAAATAGTGAATTGTTGCCCCAAAGTAATCAGCTCTCCTACTTAGAGCGTCCGCTACTACAGACATGAACTCTACGGGCCAATATCCATTGCCATCATCTTGCTGTAAAACAACACATATGCCATACTGACTTGCGTCAGTAGTAACAATGAAAGGCAGGGATGGATCGACTACCTTAAGGACTGGGTACTCTATCAAAGCCCGCTTCAATCTCTTCAGGGCAGATGTGCAGTCCTTGTCCCACTTCCAGATTGCTTCTTTCTTTAGCAATCTACGAAGGGGTGCAGCGATGGTGGAGAAGTTTCTGGCAAACTTCCTATAATGGTTAGCTAGGCCTCTGTCAGTGTGTGGGGCGTTGGCCAATCTCTAATCGCTGCAATTTTGTTATCTTCAGGTCTCCGTCTAAGACGTGGCCCAGGTACAAAACCTGTGTCTTGGCCCATTCGCACTTCTTTGCGTTGATCTTGAAGTTAGCTTCTCTAAGCTTCTCAAAGACCTGCCTCAGATGGCCCTCGTGCTCCTGGAGGGTCTTACTAAACACTAGGATATCATCTAAATACACTACAACAAATCTATCTAACCACGGCCTAAACAAATCAGTCATACAACGCTGGAAAGTTGTTGGCGCATTGGTTAGTCCAAAGGGCATAACTATAAACTCGTAGTGCCCATATCTAGTTCGGAATGTTGTCTTGTACTAGTCATCAGGATGAACCTCTATCTGATGATAGTCGAACTTCAAGTCTATCTTCGAAAAGTATTTGCAGCCCTGCACCCGGTCTAACAAATCGTCTATACGGGGCAGCGGTTCTGCATTCTTAACCGTAATAGCATTGAGACCTCTATAGTCTATACACATTCTGAGCTCTCCCTCTTTCTTGGGGACAAAGAGAACAGGTGTTCCAAATGGAGACGAACTGGGCCTAATCCAACCCTTCTCAAGGAGCTCGTCTAAGTGCTTACGCAACTCCTCTAACTCCCTTGGGGACATTCCGTAAATCACTCCCTTAGGAGTCCTACTGCCAGGCTCTATCTCTATGCGATGTTGGATCGGCCGCGGCGCTACTCTTGTAGGCGGCTTAACTAAATCTGTATATTCTTCCAGCAGCTTGGCAATAGCGGGCTCCATGGGTGTCTCCTCCTTAGGCTCAGTAATTGGCCTCACGTAGGCTACAAATACCTGTTCTTCTAATTGCTCCTTCTTCACTAAACGCGCGAACGCGGGAGCACTAAGGCAGCAATGTGCCAGAGTGTTATCTACTCATGACACATGAAACAGGCGAGCAGTCTTAACTTCACTTGTGGGACTAGGGGGCCTACACTTGTGCTCTCTCAAATGGAGTGTGGCCCCTGCTGCCTCTCCCAGTCCATTCCTAGGACTATATCGAAAGGAAGGTTGTCTTCCACGAGGAGAGTCAGGAGTGGAGAACTTTCTCCACCTTCCCATCTTTCTCTAGGCGAAAGTACGCCTGGACTCCCTCAACGTAATCCTCGATTCGCATAGTGCGATTGTCTGCGAGGATGATGACTATAGGGTCTGCTAACTTTTGGACTTTCAGATTTAGCTTAAACTTCTGCAGCGCTTTCCTACTGATATAGCTGCGGGTGGCCCCATTGTCTATAAGGGCACCTACTCTGCCTCTAAAGACCTCTACATCTACTAAAACTAGTTGTCCTTTCGCATCCTTCTTCATCTTGGCCCAGGCAGGCATCCTCTCCTTCAACTCTTCAGCCACGCCTGTGAGGGAAGTACCTAGAGAGACCCTTACACAAGCAGTCTCTCGACAGTTGTCTACGTACTGGCCAGCAACCTCTGTCGTAGGCTCATGTGGTTTGGGAGTTCCTCTGTGGTGCACGCACTCTTCTCCACATGGCCTAGGGGTGAGGGCAGTTGCGACCCCTACCGGCGGTTGCCTTTTGCTGCTTGTGCAGCATAACGGGTTTCCCTATACTTTGAACAATACTTAATTATGTGGCCAGGATCACCGCAGTAAATGCATTGATCCTGGTCCACACGACGCTGCCATACGGACTCGTCCAAGCCCAGGTCTTCCCATGACCTGCCCTGTGGCAAGCCAATGTGCCATCCACCTCTCCTTGGAGGTGACCGATAAGATCGTGAGCGATTTGGCGGGGGACCTTGACCCCTACCTCCCTCTTGGCGGTTTCCTCTGCCGCCAACCCTCTGAGCGCCTTGTCCTCGGCCACCTGAGGGCCGGCCCCCTTGGCCCTGGCCTCCTCCTCTAGCTTCCGGCCTCCCTCCAGCCGCAACAGTAGCGTAGGTCCTCCCCTGACCCCCACTGATGTCCTCCCCTGACCCCCACTGATGTCCTCCTCCTCTAGGCCCCACTCAATTTGACTGTAGGGGACCTCGCTCATACCACCTTCATCTAAAGTAAGGATCAAATGATCCTTGGCCCTAACCTGGCCAGAGATGGTACGGCCCTTCCACTTTTTCCCTTTATCCAAGTCCTTGTGCCAGAAAGTGAAAATTGGCATGGACTGTGCATCGACTTCTCTACTCAACGCGTCGTACATCATGGTGGGCTGTTTGCTTTTCTCAAAGAAGTGAACTCGCAGGGGCTCTGGCATGGCACGGTAAAATAGGTTAACCAACTGGGGCTCAGTGACCCCGTGGTCCGGGACGACTACTAGCTTGTCCATTACGCCCTTGAGTGCCCTTGCACTCCCCCACTGGCAGGAGTGGATAGTTTGCAGCTTGTCAGAGGCTCTAACGCCTCATGTGGCATCTGCAAACCGTTTCTTTAATAATTTAAGGAATTCAGGGAGAGGAGTAATTTTAGAGTAGTCTACCATTTCGCACTGTGCAGCGCGAGCGAGGGATCTGGGCCATCTGGCAAAGCTAGCCGCTTCGTCTTTGAGCGCCTGGAAGGCAATGAGGACTTGTTCCTCAGGCACAATATGCTGCAAATAGACATATGTGTTGGTACTCGCCTCTCACTTATCGAAGTTTTCCTCCTCCTTCCCACTATAGGGTTCAGGAAATTTGATCTTCACGGGCTCTCTACGGGGGTGTGGCTCTTCCTCCTTAGGAGCGGCCAACTTTGCGCCTTCAATGGCGCCTATACAAAATTTCTCTGTACCCTCTATCCTCGCCTGCACTTCTGCACCTACATGCAGCATCATCTCGCGTGTGAAATCCCTAAATCCCAGACAGATGGAGTGTAAAGCGATGTCCTGGGCTCTAGAAAACTGGTGTTGCTCGTCCCAGGCTCCTGAATGCAACTTTTGTGCCTTACCAACTGAGCTAGCCACAGGCGCTGGCCATCTTATTATCCTCTAGGTGAGATTTTTTTTAATCTCTTTTCTTTTTCTCTCTCTTTCTTTCTTTCTTCCTTTATTTTACTTCTCTTATCATCATTGAACCGACCGGCCCTACTTTCTTCCCCCGAATACAACACACTGTCATTATAGCTGTATTTAGACCAAAAGATGCCCCAAAATACAGCTATAATGACCGTGCGTTGTATTCGGGGGAGGAAGGTAGGTAATTCAGAATTGCAGTATGTTGCTCATCGGCTTCACTTGAGTTCGAACTCAGGTTTGTATTTCAACAGTTCAGGGGTGCACCAACTGAGCTAGGCCAGTTGGTACGTGAGGTAGTTTTGGGGCAGAGGGCTCCCCCTCTTTGTTTCTGCCCATTTTTCTTTCTCAAATTGTCTGCCTGGGGTTGTTTGGGCAGGCTGGGCTATTTCTGATCTGCGAGGTACAGTAGACAGTCCAATGCCTAAGTGTTTTCCGGTAAATTTTAACCGATAAGGAAAAGATTTGCAATTGCCACTGCTCATATAACTTGAGTAATGCATCCATCCATCAACTTCCCGAGGAAACCAATCATGTAGAGAAAGTACAAGGTCTTAGAGAGATTAATTGGAGAGAAGATTCAGAAGAAGGCATTCATTTTAAATTCAGTTGTCTGGTTTCGGAGAAAGGCCATCAATCTTTCAGAAAAAAAAAAAAAAAGAAGGGGGAAGTACATTGGAGTCACGCCCAACGTTCAGAATAGCCGACTTTAGCAGTTGCCGAAATTTAATGGAGCAAAAAAGGCAACCCTAAATCTGCCAAGCGCAACTGCGGGTAATGACTGCCACAGTTTTAGAGACCCCCCGCTAAACTTGCACATTTCGAAACTCACACCATGACACCGGCACCACTTTGTCTTTTCATGCCTATTTCAAACTGAAAGTGTGTCACAGCCACAGTTTCCCCAAATAAGAAGCCAGCTGGCACTGCTAGTGATGGTGATACAAGCTCCCAACACTACAGTCTTCCCCCGAGTACAACGTACGGTCATTATAGCTGAATTTGGGGTATCTTTCCGTGTAAATTCAGCTATAATGACCGTACGTTGTGTTCGGAGGAAGACTGTAGCAGTCCACCGCAGGCTCCAATCTATTGGTGGGGAGCAGCCCCTGCTGGAAATCGGGTCCAGCGTCCCTTGTACATAATAACTGAGAAGTGCTGAGAGTTTGAGCCTGGTTGAGTAGTCTGTGTTCGCCTGCAGCCAGCCTCCTCGGCCCACAAATGGCCGCCAGATTCCTTCCCATTGTCCTAGCTGGTTAAACATCTTGCTCCCTGGCAAGACCGACCTAAAGTTCAGAGTCCTTGTTGGTTTATATCTTCAACTTTCTGGCAGGTCTCACTGTCGCATGGTTTACGGCCACGTGGTGCGGCCCTTGCCGTCAGATCACTCCGGTGGTGACTAAACTCAACAACGATTACCCACTTGTGAAGTTCTTGAAGGTACGTTTTGAGCCTCCTTCAACCCCCTTCCACCCCCGAACCCTGCACCAATCATCTCGCCTGTTTCCTCGTTTTTCCCGTGTGCCCCCCTCGCCCCTTGTATGATCTACATGCTAGCTGTGCATGTGCCTCTTCATCTAAATTTAGACCACAAGAGCTTTATGAGCCTCTTCAAGATGGAATCGGATTCAGCTACTGAAACCCTGGCATTATCCTTGAGTGAGAAGGCAAACTTCGTTCTTGAGCCCAAAACAAAAAAAAGAAAGCTGAGAAGTAAAAAATGCCCCATCCCAAGACCTTGATCTGCGGTTTTAGCCCCTCCTGACAAATACATCAAAAAGGCCTTGGCGGACATCTGAAAAACCCCTGCAGTCATCATCGTCGATCCCAGGTTGTGGTGTGTTCAAGAGTGTTTTTGTGCATGTGTGTGTGTTTGTGTGTGTGTGTGTGTGTGTGTGTGTGTGTGTGTGTGTGTGTGTGTGATTTGGGTGTGTGTGTATGTGTGTGTGTGTGTGTGTGTGTGTGTGTGTGTGTGTGTGTGTGTGTGTGAGAGAGAGAGAGAGAGAGAGAGAGAGAGTCCAATAGTTACATAGGGTGCTTCTGCAGGTTGGCATCCAATCCATCTTAAAAGTAGACAAGCTGACAGAAATAATGCAAAAAGCTTTTGAGAAACGGGTTTACATGCTAAGTTTAGCCTTTCCATCTGATGTGTAACCGCCATTTCGGTACATTTGAGATAAATATTTTTAATGCATGAAATTGAAATTTGCTTTTCAGCCTTTTAGGGGTATTTGTATGGGGTAGGCTGGAAGTTGTACTCTCTCTCTCTCTCTCTCTCTCGCTCTGTGTGTGTGTGTGTGTGTGTGTGTGTGTGTGTGTGTGTGTGTGTGTGTGTGTGTGTGTGTCTCCCACCCACTCACTCCAAAAAATAGTGAAGTCTCAAGTTTAGCGAAATGGCTGTTTTTTTTTTCCCTTTTTTGCCCGCAGATTGACGTTGATGAGAATCAAGATCTTGCGCTCTCGGAGGGCATACAATCCGTGCCAACCTTTCGATTCATCAAGGCTGGCCGGCAGGTTTCTGAGATCAAAGGTGCAAATGCTCTTTCTCTAGAGGCAACTGTCAAGATGTGGGCGTGATTTTCGTCCAGTCGACTTCTTTCAGTGACCATTCAACCAGTTTCCGAGAACTGGAATGCACTTTCCAAATTGCTCAAGGCACACTCTACTGCAAAGCTGTCTACAGGCAGATTCGCAATTTCACAACGCATTGCAATTCACACCTGAAGTTTTACCATAACTTGTACAGGGATTGGTATGGCTTTTCAAGATCAATACCACAGCAAGCACCTGCTTCAAGACTCCTCTGTGCAAGCAGCCCGGTTCAGACGTCAACATGGCCACATGATTGAAATAGCCACGTGATCGACATTTGCAGACTTCTACATAGTCAAACTTTGTGAAGTCACTGTATTTCCCATGTCTGCACAGACCCCGCTGCACGAGATGAGAAGCCACTTGACCTGCTATTGCCAACTGTGCGTACTCATAGATAGGCTGACGATGAACTAGTTGAGGTTTGTATGGTAGAGGACAAATGTTTTTTTTCTTCTTCTTCTTTTTTGCAAAACCAGCGGCCTCTGCTAGCAGGGGTGATTAGAGCAATGTTACTTTTAACTGGTCCGGTTCATATGGCACGGGAGAGAAGATGGGCAAATAATAGGCTAGCTAACCGAGATGAGAGATACGCCATCAATCTGTGCTCTCAGGACAATAAAAGACAGTCCAGAGGCTTGAAGTGTTTACACACACGTGCTCATGTAACGCACGCAAAAAGCGCGCGCACACACCCGCACACAAAAAGCACACACCCGCACACAAAAGCACACACACACACACACACACACACACACGCACACACACACACACACAGAGAGAGAGAAAGAGAGAGAGAGAGAGGGAGAGGGAGGGAGGGAGGGAGGGAGGGAGGGAGGGAGGTTCGTGAATTTGCGGTTCGTCTCTGTGAACATTGATTGTCCTGTAGAAAGGCTGTGCTCCTAAACGGTTGGCTGTTGATGGGATGGGGGGCCACTGCAGTTGGTGTTATTGAAGAAGAAGAAAAAACGGCTGACACGGCATGTTTTGAAAACCTAAGTGCAAAATAAACTCGCGCCGGCAAAGAAATCACGCCCCAACTCGAAATGAGCGATTTTGATCCAAAAGTATCCGTTGGGCATTTGATTTTTCGTTATTTGTTTTCCCCTCCGACACCACGGCCGACCCCTGTACATATGACGCCCAGTCTGACACTACGGCTGCCGGTACTTCCGTTGCCTTTTGGAACTCGGCGCGGTTTTCTTTGCAGATCCGTGTTTTGTTTTGCCCATTCGATACTGAAAGGTGACGTGAACGTACTTACCCGTATAAAAAAGAAGGGGCAAGTCCGTTGATGCCACTTTTGACTATTGAATGAACAAGAAAAACACGCGCCAGCAAAGAAAATAGGCGGCGAGTTGGAAAAAGCAATGAAACTACCAATTGGCCGTGCTGTCAGGACGGGTGTCATAAGTACAGGGGTCGGCCAGGGGTCAGTCGTGGTGTCGGACGAGGAAAGGAAGGGGAAAAAATGCCCAACGGATTCTTTTCTACCCAAATTGCCGTTTCAAACTCACTCCACGATATCTCTGCGGGCGCGTGCTTTTTTTGCCTTTGCAAACTCAAAACCTGCTGTGCCCGCCATTGTTTCGAAAAAGGTAAAAAAGGATGCCCTTGGAACCAGGAGTTCATAAACATAATCGACGAGAAAATAAGGCATTAAGTTGGCGTTGAACCACAAGTATGACAGACCTTGTTCTTTCTGTTCTTTTTGGGGTCCCAGTCCCAGTGCCCAACTTGCATCTATACCTGAGAAGTGGCCTGTGCAAATTATTTGCATGCCCGGGACCGAGGTGGGGCAAGGTCGGTACCACAAAATTGGAGTTATACCCAACTACCAGAATGCTCAAATAGTGTACATACCTGGGCAAATTATGTGCATACCCAATTTTGCCTGCCCTGATTCTGGGCATGAGCATAATTTTGTGCTCCCCAGCCTGTTTTCTGGGCGCTGTCTGCTGGGCCCTACCGGGCACATGCTAGCCAGGCAGCCTGCCTTCCACGGCCACTTTCCATAAAGGAAAGTGCCTGGCCCGAAGGAGGGCATTCTGCCTGGAGCCACTTGTGCGGCAGTGAAGGACGCTGGTGCATGGGCACGGCGCACGTGGGCACTTGTGGGTGAGCGCTGCTGGATGCAGCCCACGAAGGCAGCCATAGCCAGGCTGCTCTTCCTTGCTGGTGGGGTTTGGACAGTGGTCCCTGAGCATTGAGGAAAGCACGTGGGGAAGAAGACAAAGGATGAGCGGAGAGTGAGAAGAGGACATACCTGGTTGTGCTGGAGGTCTGCATGGGCGACATTTACACGTACATTGGTTGCTGCTGCTGAAGTCTTCTGGTCGCGTCAAATAGCTGTAGGCTAGATAGGTGTTGTACAATTGTGGTTGTGGCACCAGGCACCTGTAAGAGAGAGAGAGAGAGAGAGAGAGAGAGAGAGAGAGAGAGAGAGAGAGAGAGAGAGAGAGAGAGAGAGAGAGAGAGAGAGAGAGAGAGAGAGAGAGAGAGAGAGAGAGAGAGTCTGGATGCAATGTTGATGGTGGCGAGAGGATGGGTTGCCTTTGACATTTGAGTTCATTGTTTCGTTCTTCATTGGTGCAATGTTGGTGCAATTCTGCTTTCTGTGTGACTTGTGACTATCTTCTTTTCAGTGTGATGAGGCAATTTGGTATTCTGTCATTCACTCACGCTCATTTCCTAGCAATTTGGTATCGGAGCTGGTGCCAAGGCTATTTGGTGCCTGGTCAGATGCACCAGGCAGTGAAGAATATCGGCACTGGTATTGTATGGCAGCCCTGGGTCGAGAGGGCAGCACCAAGAAGGCTATTGTGGCAACAATATTTGCATGATGCTATGTGATGAGAGTTTTGCTGACGTGGCATTTATTGCTGAGGTTGCACTACATTGCAGTGTTGGTGGTGTCGATGCAACACCCAGTCATCTATAATGCATGTCAGCTCAGTTGGTGAGAAATCTGTGGTTGGGGGCAGCACTTGAGGTACGTTGTCTCTAACCTTATCTACCCTCCTTATTTCTTCTTACCATGAAGAGGAGAGTTCTCCTCGAGTGTCCTCTCTTGGTGAGGTGTCATGAGCGCATTACCTTGAGAGACGACCTTCTTCCTGGGGAGCATGATGGTGGGAGGTGGGCGGTGCTTGCTGAAGGGCCCTGGACGAAGCACGGGCCACGGGGCACGGTCACCATGCCAACCCACGGGAGTAGAGCACTGATGCTTTGCTGCGCTTTGTCCTTTTGATGCTTGCTGCTGCTTTAGAGGTGGTTTCTGGGCAGGCCAGTCCTATGGGGGATTGTAGTGCACCGGACCAGCGTTAAAGATACTCTGCCGGGGACGTCCTTCGTGCGCTGTATGCGAGGTTAAAAACACAATAGTACAGACTGAGCTGGCCTACTAGTTACTTACCTGGGTACAGGGGCGGGCCGTTGAGCACACTTAGTCACTGCGCCATCAGATCGCTGACAGGAATGTCATGGTGACGAAGATACTCGGGGGAATCCAGAAGGAACGGGAGATTCCAACTGTTTCTCGTATTTTGTCATTCTGTACATCCACACGGCCTACATCCAAACCAAGCAATTTTATTTTACTGCCTAGGCTACCAGAGTGGCCCGGGGTCACTTGCCCGGCCGGGCCAAAAAGAAATAAAAATAAAACAATATTTTTAAAATTTATTTTTTATTTTAAATTTGGTGAAGAATTGCGATGTGACCCTGAGGCAAAAGTTGTTCAGTTTATTTTTCTGCATAACATAGTTTTTTTTCCGGATTTTTTGGATTTTTTGGATGTTTTTTTTTGCTGGGACCTTCCCTGGTCCTTGCACGGGCTGACCACCCGGGACCCGGGCGGCCCGGCTGGTAGCCTAGTTACTGCTGATTAGTTAAGATGTTGACAGACTACTGACATCTGACAGACTTCTGTAGGACAGATTAGTACATTTCTGTTTCCACTTTGCAATCTGTTTCAGAACTTTTCAAAGTAGAGTAATATTGTTTGAACTTTGAAGGTGTCTGTACATTGCTTCCAATAACGCCTGTTTAGCATTCTGAAGTCATGGACCGGCGGGATTATTTTTTATTTTAATTTAGTTATTATACACCGGTCAGAACCTATGATGTGGTAGGTGCCACGGAGGACACTAGTGCAGACAGTGTTCCGCAGCAGCTGACGAGTGTGGAGAGCAGCAGAGATGAGAGGTTAGATGATCAGCGGAGGTTGACTCGCCGGCAAGCGCTTAGTAGGCCTGTTACTCACCTGGTTTTTATTAGACGCCGGTCAGAACCTATGGTGTCATAAATCCCAGGGAGGACACTAATGCAGACAGTGTTCTGCAGCAGCTGATGAGTGGAGAGAGCAGCGGAGATGAGAGGTTACATGATCAACGGAGGTTGACTCACCGACAAGCGCTTAGTAGGCCTGTTACTCACCTGGTTTTAGAACCTCGGGACGAGAGAAGGCTTTGTAGGCTCGCTGAGGAGAGGCGCAGGCAACGTCTGCTTGGCGAGCAGCAGGCAGCGGCAGCAGCAGCAGCAGCGAGGGACTTAATGTTAGTGGCAGAGCTATACACCCTAGGTCCAGCACAGCAGCCATGGCTACTGTTAACGCACAGACAATGACGGCATCTTCAAGCGCAGCAGGCACTAGTCAGGGTACTTCTGTTAGTCAAATGTCTGGCGTGCAGTCCAGCCAGCCACCCCCACCGTTGTCACCTGAGGATATACAGATCCAAAGGGTAGCAGAACTTTGGGCACGTTTGCAGGCCGAGCTTCAGAATGCAGCAGAACAAGAAAGAGAGATCAGACTTAGAAAAGCCAGACTAGAGAGTAGGGAAGCGTACAAGAACAGGGTAGAAGGATTAGATGAAATGTGCACTTACCGATGGGGAGAATGCCTTCCGGTCATTCGTGTTAGGCATCCACGAGCCCCTGACCACCTCGGAGGGCAAGGTGGATGCTATCCTTGCTGGCCAGGACCAGATTCTGGCTGTGTTGCAGCAGCAGGGGAGACCAGTCCACGACACAGCCTGTTGCCAGGCCTTTCAGGGCACCTGTTACGCCTCAGTCGTGTTCGGGGTTGGTCGGTTTCAGTCTTCTCTCCCTTGTTTGGTATGATTCCAGCAGGCGGTTCAGTAGTTGGGAGTACTGTGCAGGCACAGACGCAACCTTCCACCTCACCCCATGTGGCTGCATCTGCAGGGTAGTCACAACCACCACAGCCAGCAGCACAAGCTGCACAGCAGGCTGCTTGTGGTCAGTCCCATTGGGTTCGCAAGACTGCACTGGTATATCCACATGCCTTTAGAGCGACAAGAAGGATGAGAACCTCAACACTTCGTTGAGGACTGTGCCGACGTATGTGAGGAACAAGGACACGCAGAAAGAGAAGGAGGTCATAGTAGCGGCATCCTTTCTGAAGGGTGCTGCAGCTAGATGGTTAGATGGGATAGTCCAGATTCGGGACCGGGATTTCGGTTCGTGGGCCCAGGCAACAGACTTGGACTCCTTTCTGAGGCTGGTTGAAGTGAGGTTCCATGAACGCCAGGAAGCGCAGAATGTGACAGATGCACTGAGGATCCTAGATACGAAAAAGTACAGGTTAGTGTGCGACGTTACCAATGCAATAGAGAA